GTTTTTGCGTTTTTTGTCTGATTTTTCGTACCACTTTCGTCCACTTTGTTTCAAACCATAAAGAGATTTTTGCAAGACATAAGCATAATCAAGATTATCTTGGTCTTCAAGGCCTTTAGCTTGTTCCATGAAAATTTCTTCTTTTAAATCTCCGTTAATATAAGCAAGCCATAACAAAATCTAGTTGATATAACATAAGGTGTTGTTCAGCACTGTATGCAATCACAGTTCTTAGTTCTTATAGAGCTTGCTCTGGCTACTGGAGCAAAGGTTTCATTGAAATCAATTCCAGGTTTCCTGTGCAAATATCCTCTAGCAACCAATCGAGCTTTTCTCTTTTGTCTCTGTATGTTCCATCTGCATTATATTTCGTTCTAAGAACCCAGCGACATCCTATTATTTTTTTGTTCGGTGGTCGCTTTAACTAATTTCCATGCACCAATTTTAACAAGTGCTTCATACTCACTAAGGCATAGCCTTATGCCATTCTTCAGCATAACTTCCATTTAATGCTTCTTCTAATGTCGGATTTGTATCTTCTTCAGCAATTTGTGCTTCTTCCTTTTCTATGTTTATATTTTACTCCTTTTTCAGTTATATTTTGTATATTTCTCCTTTTTCAGTCTTCCTGGCTTCCCAGTCTTGATTTTCTTTGGACGACCTGGCCCCTGGTTTTAATCTGCATTTTAGGTATTGCTTTGGAATTCAGAATCTTCATTATCAGATGTTTCTGCCGTATTTTAGGGGTCTTCCGTTATTTCATCAGCCGATATTTGCTTTACATTCAAAGGTTCTTCCTTATTTTCATCAGGAATATTTTCAAGAAATAAAACTTCTAAATCTTTATCATAATTAGTACAGTTTTCAAATTCATCAATGAATCTAACATCTCGGCTTATAACGATTTTTCTGGAATTTTTATTCCACAGCCTGTATGCTTTCGATTAATTTGAGTATCCCACAAAGATATGTTCTTCAGATCGAGGATCAAATTTCCCTTTAGACCTTTTATTAAGTACGAAACATTTCTGTCCGAATACCTTGAAGTGAGACACAGTTGGCTTGATGCCAAAAAATAACTCATATGGTGTTTTGTTTACTCCCAGGCTTCAATTTGGGCAACGATTACATATATAAACAGCACAATTCAAGGCTTCAGATTGGGAAGGATTGGGGAAGATTATGTTGCAGTAACAAACATCTGGCCATTCACTTGCGATTCATGTGTTCAGCTCTCGAATTCTGTTGAGGGGTCATTGGTGCAGAGAATTCTCGTTTGCAGTATTTATTAAATTCTTCTCCACGATATTCGAGACCGTTATCAGTTCGAAGGAGTTTTATTTTCTTTCCTAGACGATTTTTGACCGCTGCTTTGTATTTAATGAATGCATTTTTCACCTCATCTTTAGTTTTAAGAAAACTGACTTCGACATAACGTGATTTGTCGTCTATGAAAGTAACAAAATAACGCGAACCAGCATGGGATGGGACTCTCATAGGTCCTCACAAATCTGAATGAATCAAGTTCACTAATTCATCACTTTGAAATTTTTATTCTTTTTGAAAAGATTGCACGTTTACCTCAGATACAGACTTTGCAGTCATTTAGAGATTCAGTGTTATTAAAATTTAAATTTCTAACCATGTTATCAGATTTAAGTCTTTTCAAATCAGACTCATTTAAATGACCTAATTTAGGATGCCAGTTTACAAAATCACTTACCTGTGCTATTGCAGCCGTTTCAGTGCTTAGATATATGTAATATAGATCACCTTGACGAATAGCCTGCACTAGTATAGATCCATTTGGTTCTATTATTCTATGTCTAGCATGTCGTTCTGTAAAAAATCACTGAACGATTATTTGCGGTAGCTTTAGATGTTGACAGCAAATTACACTTTAATTCCAGAACACACAACACATTTTTGAGTGTAAGTTTGTCTTATTTCCGTTATGTACTGTTATAAGGACAGTTCCAATTCCTGTAATTTTTGCCATTTTGTCAACTGCTAACTTTTATGGTTGAATTCGTTCGAGGGTGAAATTCTGAAAATAACCTTCTGTCATTGCACATGTGAGATGTACAGCCACTATCTAAGCACCATGAGGAGGTCTTCTGATAAGCATTGTTTACTGCTAAACTAATCTGCTCTTCATAATTAGAAGCCATCATAGAACCTTGATTTCCCTTATTTGATTGTGCATATTTTCTATCAGCTATTTTCTTTCTGCATTCAGATGCCTTGTGCCCAATTTTCGAACAGTAATTACACTTCAAGTTTCGAAAACTTCTTTCAGCAGGAAAAGTTTTGTTTGAATTTACCTTCCATTTTTCATTTTTCTTCTGTTCTTGATTTCGTCTTTTATTTTCAGTGTAGTATGCATTCTGTGAATCTTGAGACGTGTTTTCCCTTTTCTTGCTTCCCATTCTTCTAACGTTTTGATTTTCGAAGATTCGGGACTAGGTAACTGAGCTCTTGATTTGATGGCGCATGTAAAATTTTCAAAGTTTTCTGGAATATTGTAAAGCAGAAAAATCAATAATAAATCATCAGCTATGTCAATTTCCATTTGTTTAAGCTTATCAACTATTTCGAAGAAATTATTCAAATGTTCAGACATCGATATGCTTTCCACCATTTTTCGAAATAAAAGCTGTCTTAACAAGGTAGTCTTCTTCGCAGGTCCTTTCGATTTATATACGGCTTTGAGTTTATTCCATACAGCATTTGATGTCGCACAATGCTTTATATGACACAGTTCACTAGGATTAATAGCAAGAATTATACTGTGCGAGCTTTTTGATCAGCTTGGAGCCATTTCTTTTCGTCTTCGTTCCTTCAGCAGGTTTAGCTCTTTACCGGTTACATAATTCCAATGGTTGTTTTTGATCAATACAGCTTCTATTTGTAATTTCCAACTGGCAAAATTATCTTTTCCAAGCTTTTCTATAGTAGTCTAATGCAACATAATGTAATACTGTTTCTCACAGCCAAAAAACAAGATTGGGCGATGTAAAAATAGGCTTAACTGAATGCTGATCAGTTCTTATCGTTGATTAGATGCAACAGTTCTTGCACGGAATTAGGCTTAAGAGTTCTATGCTCGAAAACTTCAAAATGTTCATTTTAATGAAGCTATCTTGCTACTTAGGCATAGTCGAAACATTCCTGGGCCCATAACCCATAACCATTGAAGAAAATAAATGGGCCTAAACAGAGTGTAACATCAATGAACATTTTTAATGACAGAGATTAACCTAAACATAGTTGCATACAGAAAAAAGGCGAAGAAGTAAGAAGAATGGTATACATATACGTACATATGTAATTTAAACAGATACGTCATCACCGCGTGGATAAACGCAAACGGCGAATGTGTTAGGAGAAGCGCTCTTAAGCTAAACGTCATATTATAATTTATGATACAACAAGAGCCAAATTATTGATCACACAAATTTATGTTAAAATTATTATTTTTTTCAATAATGAGATATTTGATTTAATTCCAAAGTGAAATTAGGCCCACCAGCGGCCGAGCGGTAAAGTCGCTGAACACTGGTAGTTCGGTCCGAGGTTCGAATCCCATGAACGGGCAGGCTGCATGGGCGTTTTCGTGGTTTTCCCCATGTGTAACGTGTATACGAGCCAGTTTCCCTTAGAAAGTCCTCCACGAAGGCATACCTCCCCTTAGGCAGATAGCCCTTGAGGCTTTGCCATTATCACAACACACACACACCAAAGTGAAATTAAGATTTTGGATTCTCCACGTTTTCTTATGCCCCCCCCCCCAAAAAATCAAATGTGCATGTATAAAGTATTAAAAAAATTCCTAAAAATTTTTTTGTTGGTGGCTATAAGGTTCGAATTTTAGATCATTCCACACATTGGGCATCCGGATCTCGGACTTAGTCCATGACTGCAGAAGTTCAGTGTATCAAAATGAATGATTAACTGCATAGAAAATTCTCTCCATAAGTAGATAATATTATAGGGAAAGTAAGTTAAGGTGTTGGCTAAAATGATAATAAATAGTTTCAGTTACCATTTGGCAGGTTGGCTGATTGCATTTAAAAGTAAAATTTTGTAGACATACTGCATATATATATCAGGGGTGGCCAAATGTCATATCAGTAAGAGCTGCATATTGGAATTTGGGCCTCAGCTAGATTTTCCATATAGCCATAAGTCCGTATGACATTTTAAAAGCAGTGAAAATTGTTTCACTGTTTTAAGAAGTCTTATAATATTGTAAAAGGAAATGAAATAAATAAATTACACTCTTTTAGATACTAAGTAGTTATAGTTTAGCCACCTATGTTTTGCGAGCCATGCCTATGGCCACCCCTGGTACATATATACTAAACAAGTACTTTTGATGAATTGAACACAAACAGGACACTACAGAATCTAAAGCCAATGAAAAAGGTTTTTAACTAGGAATAATATATTGATTATTAGCAGTGATGAAAAGGGAAATGGAAGAATATGTATTTCCAAACAAATCTTCTGTGATTAAATTTGCACCGCTTTGAACAGATAAAAGGTTTTTGTTTGAAAGAATGAAAGGTTTATTTGATATTTAGTTAAGTGTTGTCAACAATAAATGAGATATCTCATTTTATTCACCTCTTCTTCAGTGGCACTACAGCCTATCACAGGACAAGGCCATCTCAATAAGCTTCCTCCAACGGATCTGATTAGTCGCTAAGGTCTGCCAATGATTGATTTCTTAAGTCTTGAGATTTGCCTCGGCACAGTCTATGCATCTTGTGCGAGGTCTTTCTCTTTTCCTGGTACCACTTGGTTAAGGTCACCATTTTAATAGGGTTCAAGTTATCATATCTAAAAATATGTCCAAGCCACCTGATTAAAAAGAACACTTAAAAGTATTTTAAATTTCCGTGTAAAAGAAGTCATTATCTTTATGCTATTGTTTTTGTATGATAATCAGTAAGTGTATTTGATTATTAAGCAGTGTTAATGATTTCTCTCTAAAGGATCTCAGTCCTTGTTTAACTAAAGTGTCTCGAGAGGTGGATGCAAGGGAAAAGGAACTCATACATCAAGCGCACCGAGACATATTAATTCGTTGTTTGGAATCTGTAAAATCATTGGCTCCTATTTTAATATGTAGCATGAAGATCTTTGTTCAGATTTTAAGCCAGGGTAAGTCCTAAAAATGTCAAATTTTATATTTTTCTATTTACAACTTTTCTTTAACAAGTTATATTTTGTTTTGGCTGGACTATTTAAGATAACTTGTGCCTGTATCAATGTAAGCATCGAAGTATGGAAATATAATATAATGTCTTTTTGTATGTGATAACTAAATAAAATGCTGTAGATGAACCATGCTAACTACAATCTATTATAGCTTATTGGATGAGGAACTTCTGTAAAATGAGTATGCAAAGTAGGCTGTATAGTATAATTTCAAGAAATTGGTTTTAATCTTAGGGAATACACAATAAGTGTTTGTTGGTGAACCTAAAAATAATTCATTGAACAAAACACTAAAAAACAAAAAGAATATATAGTTAACATAACATAATGTAACATAAATAAAAGAAAGTAAAAGGTGATTAAAGCTATTACTGGGCTTTTCGGAGTACAGCAGTACACTGTGACTATTTGTAGCACCAGAGAGGTTTGTTCTCACAGCTTAGAATGCACTGCAGAGTGAAATAAAGACAGAGTTCCCAAGCAACACTCCACCATCAGGCATAGCTCTCAGACGGCACTCCACCATCACTTCCATCCTCAAGAATTGGATTCTTGACCCATAGGCTAGAGCTTGTTTTACTGGGTACTGAAGTAAGGGTTGAACAGCCCAAACTTTAGCAACATGAACAAGTCTATACTGTCTTAGATATACTTATACTAATCTTCCCAACAGTCGTGTAGCTGAAGAAGTGTCATCTTTTAATATAACAATATCACCAACCTCCAGATTTGCCCAATGCTTTGTCCATTTTCATCTGGGTTGCAATGTACTGAGGATTCATTGTGCTATCTCTTCAAAAATCTGTGCTTTATTTCCTGTAGCATGGACCACCTGGTATGAAGAACCTGAGGGCTAATAGAGCCACATTTTTGGAACACTTGTAATTGTTTTTCCTGTAAGAAAATAAGAAAAAAATATAGTAACTCTCAACTTGATACATCTGAAGTAATGAAATGTAGAGGCATAAAATTTAGAATAGTTGCTATTTCTGCAAGTAATCAGCTCTTCAAATATAAGTACTTCTTCTGAAATGAAACTTTAGAGATTCATTTAATTTCATTTTTTCGTATACCATGGAAGTGCTGAAAGGCAGGAGGAATTGTATGCCCTCTGAATAGAAAAAGTAGCCAAAAAAAAACCATTAAATTCTTATGACTTACTTAATTCTTTTAAAGCTATTTCAATTTCATGCAATTTCCTTTTCACTCCAATAAAACTAGCTGCATTATCACTGAAAATGTGTTGGGGTACACCTCAATGCACTGCAAACTTCTTCAAGGCAGCATTAAATAAATCAGTTGGTAAATCTGAAACAATTTCTAGGTGAATAGCTTTTGCTACTGTTCAAATGAATAATGAAATATAACTCTTGGTAGTAATTAAACTATATCCTATGTTAAATTTCAAAGTTATGGGACATGCAAAATTGATACCAAAGTTGAAATATGGCCCTTATGAATGCATTCTAGATTCTGGGAAGTTACCCATTGCGTTGAATAAAACAGGGTTGCCACGCTACCTGGAAAACCGGAAAAAGTCAGGGAATTCGGAAATTGACCAAAAAAATCAGGGAAAAGTCAGGGAATTAAGTGTTTTAGTCAAAATCTGGAAAAGTCGGAGAATTTCATACAACGATCCCGCCAAAAAAGGCGAGTTTTGCGCCGACGTCGGAAGAGATAACTTTTTTGGCGAATTGTTTATCACGTGAGTGTCATTCGGGCAGCTGGCATAGAGCCAATTTTCGCAGCTCCAAATTGATTATCTTTTAGAAAGGCAAAGCAAGTTTTCCGCAACTTTTGGTTTCCAGTAACCTCGAGAATCGCATGTGCAGTGCATGAACTAAAGAAAGTACCTGTTCTCGTATAAAACAAAATGGGTTTAATCCTAGTATACGGTACCATGAAGGTTAGAATAAAAAAATATGTATTGTAAAGAAGGAAAACCTCTCTGCAACAGACGTGGCTCCGTTCCATCATAAAGGGAAACGGCTGTGCATGCGCGATATATCTGTCGCCAAAGCTCGAAACCGGTGTCGAAGTTCGAAGGTCACATTATCAAGAGTTCATAAAATGAATATCGTTTAAAATTTCTTTAAACTCTAAAGGAAAAGAAAATATTTTTTGGCGCAAGTAAATTAATTCATGGATTAGTTATTTTGAGGGAAAAAAAAAGTACGAAGATGCATTTTAAAAATTATTGCGGAAAGTCCAAGAAAAAAACGTTCTTTGATAAAACGTTTCTTCTTGGATTTTTCACAATAATTTAAAAACGGATTTTCTTAGTTTTCTTTTTTGTCAAAGAACGTTTCTTAACACGTGTTTCTCAATTTCCTGTACACATCGTGGAGAGGGAAATTCTGGCTGCCAGGTTCCGTCGCCAAATCCCTTGGCAAAATTTCCCTCCGCTTTTTACATAGACGTTCTTTGGTTAGAATAATCTCCATGTATGGTACAGCGGGATTTGGCGACATGATGATGAGCAGTAAACAGGTCATTTTGTTCTTGGCGACATTTTTCAAAATCGTGCGAAGGCCGTACCGTATACTAGGATTTTACCGCAAAATCTTTTTTTTTCCTTTTCTAATAAATACCTTGTCATTTTGCAGTAAAATGAAAAAATAGTAACCAGTCATCTAGGCTAACCGTGTAATATAACTATATTCGCTAAAATATTGTTGATTATTCTAATTCAATTTTTAAGTAATTATCATTATTTTTATGTTATTCATATAATTTAATGTTGCTTCTTCCCTCTAAATTTATTTATCATTAGTAAATAATATTTCCAAATTTCAGGAAATTTTCTCTGGCATAATCCTGAAATTAATTCTAGCAGTATGATGACATCACAAAACTTAATGCACATATTTTTTCCTTATGTATGCTGCGAAATAAATATAAAATACCGTAATTTAATAAAAAAATATTAAATAGATTTCTTTCTTTCTTTTAGCTGCAGAATGTCTGCAAAAAAGCCTTATTTTATTCCAGATTGGGCAGATTCTAATCTCAATCTTCAGTGGAGAAAACAACTCCTATTATAATTATATTTGTGTTTTCAAGTATTAAGGTGCCTTTTAAGAAGACACCTCACACAAATTAAATTTACCTAAAATCTAACCTAACTTTTAGCATTGCGTTGTGATTTATAAGAACCGGATTAGCCTCGTGTTGAACTGGTGATGATAATGAGTAATAATTAAATAAAACGTACAGTTGTTATCCAATGTATATATATCTTAAATTTTATTAAGTTTCTTAAGTGGAAAAGTAAACAAACTTATCAAACAAAGTGTACCAAGAATAATTAAGAATAAATGTCCTCTGGGATTTATTGATTAATTAAGTGAATTTGCTACACAGTACAAGTAATACCATAATTAATTTACCTCTTAGCACAGCCAACGTACATTATGTGGATAGACTGGAATTTTCTCGAAACATACCTGGAAAACTTGGAAAAGTCAGGGAATTTCATTCTCCTGTTTTAGTGGCAACCCTGATAAAAGTATTTGTAGGAGTATAAATGTTTTAAAAATTCTAAAAATATTTAAATATTAATAGTTTCACCCACCAGTAATATTTAAAAATAATGATTTACATTTACATCTACTGAAAAAGCTTTTAAAATTTGAACAAACAAAAGTAACCTTTTTACTATTTTTGTTTCAAATGGGTGCTGCTATGACAGTTAAAAAAACAAATCCTTTATCAGATTGCTAGTTAGGTTAATAGAGTTAAAATATGTTAGTCCTTGGAAAATGTAAATAGCTCCAAATATTTCATTTAATAAAACTGTTTCATTAGTATCAACATTGTTTCTCCTCAGCTATCTTCATTTGGTGACTATATATTTGCTTTATATCTAATACAAACTACTCATTTTGCTATAAAATTTTTAATCAGAACAACAAATATAAACAAAGATTATCTGTGCAGCCCAGCATATTCTTTGTTTTTTTAATAATTTCAGGGTTTAACTGTATATAATTTGAATTCTCTTGAGAAATTTACTGAATTAACTACAAGGAAAGAGCAATGTGTGAAAATTATTGTGCTGAAATACAGTACCCGAGATCCAGACTCGTCGGGACTTCGATTCCCAGATGTTAGATCCTCAATTTAAATCTAGTAAGATGGCATGCAGAAATTATAAAATTAAAAATATGAAATCATGATTTATGAAATAATGAATATTTATGTTCTAAAAGGTATTAAAATATACAAAAAAAGAGCTTAATATTTATTTGTTTACTTTATTAAACATTTATTTCAATGTAAGTTATGTTTCTTCGATTTTTATGCTATTAGTTTGTCTATAGTTCTATAAACAGACATAATTTATTGTTCAATTACGAAGTTCCACTGTTCAAGTCCTGTAATTGCTGTGTTGAGAATTCTGACTAGTTTGTCAATCGAAATTTTTTCGTTTTCAATAACCTCTCTGTCACTTTCTTCACTATCGGTAATAGCATTTTCTGGATCTAGAACCATACTACAGATTTTGCCATCCGTTAATTGGCTAATGATTGGAGCATTGTCATCACAATGAAAAACCTCTGGTATATTACCTTCATTTAATACCGCTTCTTCACATTTCTTTACAAAATCCATTAATTGGAAAATTTTGGTTTGAGATATCCGAAAACTTTCAAATTCACAGCTATTATCTTCATCATCCTGACCATGAAATATGGTATGTTAGCTGGCTATAAATTATGCCAAGCATTTTTTTAAATTATCTGGATACACATTCTTCCACGATCTTACGATGCTCCACTCAGCAGATTTTATGTTAAAATATTTCAAACATTCTTGAATACTCTTGCCATTGTACAAGAAATTTAACATGGATTTCAAAATGCTACCACTTTATATTTGCATTTCAGCACTCGCTCTATTCCAATATCCAGTTGTCTACAATCAGGACAATTTTTGTGTCATTATGTAAACCAACCGAATTCAAATCTTGCCGAGCCTCGGATATAAAATGATTTTCAAACCAATCATTCATTAACGCTTCTGTCATCTAAGCTGTTTTATTTGCATGATATGTAACGAAAAATTGTTACTCTTTTAAATGCTCGAGGTTAAGTTTTTTTTCCGATTATGAAAAGCTTGCACTTGTGCATTCTTGAAGCATTGCTCATGCTAAAATTGTTAGTCTCGCTTTGGAATCTCTGACATCAGTTGGAGCCTTTTCTGTAGAGGTTGGTAAGGTATTTCACGGTACATATTGCCAGTAAAGACCAGTTTCATCAGCATTGTAAATTAGTTCTGGAGATAATTTTCCACTAGTAATGAGTTTAGTGAATTCATCTGCAAATAGTTCATCAATTTCAGTATAAGTTGAAGCTTTTTCACCTGAAATTTTTAATTGTCTTATACCATGGTGATTTTTAAATTCGGCTAACAACTTGTCAAATATTGTGAACTGAGTTTTTAAGTTTATTTCTTCATAAAAATATTTTGGCTTGAGCCATTATTAGCATTGCACCATCAATGGAATGCACTCACTGTGTCTGTCTCTCTCTGACCATTCAACTATCACTTTGTCATGATTGTCACTTTTAGCATAACGAATAATTTTTCTTTTATTCATTGTGAGTGGGGTGTGTTAAAATCTACAAAAAATTCATAAAGTTCCTTTTTCTGTTATGTCATTTACAGTTGACTTTCCAATGCCAAAGTCAGCATAATTTTGAGATGAATACACCTATATCCATTTGCAGCAATTCCCATTTTTGTTTAATGGACATCAAAACATGCTTTCACTTTGCAGATCCTTTTGCAGCTCCAGAATTGGAAACTCTTTTTGACATCATCGAAAGTTCAAGCGTAATTTTTATAAAATTGCTCTAACAGTCTGCAAAAAAAATAATAAGCTGGATCAAATTAGAAGATTAAGGAAGAGTGCAACCTGCTATATTAAGTGATATTCCTTAGAATCAGTAAAGTAGAATTTTAGCCTAGCTTAATAGTGTCCACTATTCATTATTGGCTATGTGTCATGAGATTGGTGAGAAAAGACAAGTTGTTCTGATAAATTTTGTCTCACTTCTATTGCATACTGAGACAATGAAGACCTAATTGTATTAATTTAGTTATTTATTATACTTACGTCTTATTTTTTGCATATGCTTAAGGTTATGTGTCTTGAATAAATGAACTTCCATGTATACTTAAGGCTTATTGATGTCTGGTGGTATCTTACCGCCTGATGCAATCTCTGCAGGTCCTAAATTCTGGTACAAAGTGCCCCCCTAAGTTCTAAATTTTTGCCACTCTTAAACTTTGGATCCCAGAGCTTTCTCTATATGATAAAATTAATTTTGCCGCTCGGTTGTTCTCAAAATTCCGAAAATTTTGTCTTTCCTAAATTCTACCGCCTGGTGTGGCCATATGAGCTGTGACGCCGGTTCTGGGTTTACGTGAATAACATATCAGTTGTTCTTAATTCAAATAGCACTATATGTAATCTTTTGGCCTATGAGATTCATTAACAAAATTCGTTATTAGTACACAGAAAGAGATTTTTGTTAAATCTGTAATCATCACAAAGTGTAATGTCAGCATAAGAGGTTACCATACTCTTTGTTTTTCAATTTCTAATACTAAAAAAAATGTTTAGGCATGTCTGCATGAGTCATTACTCAAGTTGTCATGTGTTGATAAACATGTGGTGAGAAAGCAAAGTATAATAAATAATGATTTGCCAGGTCGGCATCAGGCATATAAAATACTAATAGGTGTAAAGTTGACAGTGTTTCTGTCTAGAATGTTTCAGTTTGAGATGGATAAAATTGCTCCCCCCCCCGTGCAGTTTTGTCATTGCTCGCTTTGAAATCGCTGAGTTTGTTAATCACAAATTTGTTGCAAGTGGTACAAAATATATGAAATCGATAATAAAACAAATTTCAAATTCCAAATTAGTTTTCAGATGCCCATATTTGGTGGAAGATTACATTATTCAAAATTTGACGGCTCTAGGTACTGTTGCTTTATCATAATGCGAGAAACATACATACATTTATGCAGATTCTTCATTATTTAATTTCTTTAAATAAGGTGATAATATTTGGTGGCTACGATTTGAAAAATGAACTGACATTTAAAGTTTTTAACACAAAATGCCAAAACAAAATTAATAGCCCATCTGGGCTAACTACCTTTGGGCTTAAAAAAAAAGTTTTTTGTAGCTTTGAGGTCCGGATATTGGACATCCAGCTCTTGGACTTTGTATTGTATATGAAAAATTATTCAATATTGTTAGCAAATTTATCTGCATGTTGCCAAAATAAAAAATCTGTGTTTTTCTCATTTTTGCTCATGCACATTCTAAATATTATTTTTTTATGCTGTGTGCTTCGTAGTTCATATTCTGCTAGATAACTTTATGCAAATAATTGTGTGAAGTCATGCCTTGATTTTTCACAGAAAACAAGTGCATATGCAAACTTTTAAACAGATATTTTGGAGATTTATGGTTTTGGCAATGTGTCAGCAGTGTTATTCTCATGGAAAAGTGAATTTTACATTTGTTAATCTTCTCATTCATGCTGAAAATTTAAACTTAGGTGGAAAAGGTTTAGAGGAAGCAGCAGAAAACAGAAATTATCTTGCCCAAAGAATGACTGATGAAATTAATGAAATTATCCGTGTATTGCAACTGACAAGTTATGATGAAGATGAATGGGATGCTGATAACTTAACAGTTATGAAGAAAGCACAGGTTTGTTGAACATTCTTATAGAAATTAATGAAATGATATGTTTATTTTATGCAGACAATAATTAAGGTATGTGTCCATATATTAAAATACTAAGATTGTGAAAAAGTGTAAAGTGATACTACAGTATGAATTTTTCTGTGAGGACTAATGACTAATTTTTCTAGAATAGTATGTATAGAGGAATTTCATAGTTTTCCTTTACAGCAACTGACAAATTCAGATAAACACTTCTCAACTGCACTGAGCAAGTAGTAGTTTTCCCCAAATATTTAATTGGAATAATTCTTTCTACTGAATTTCTTCTGGATTTGTATCCTTATATTGAGTAGTTTTTAGCTTTTTATTGGTAGATTTGAGTATTTCTTTCATGATACTTTATGTAAAAAAATATTTGAAGGCATACTTCAGAGTTTCACTTTTAGTAGAACTATTATGAAAGGATAAAATATGTTTTGAAGTTTGTATTGCTGTTGAGGATATAAACTCCCAATAATTTTTAGTTTTGAGAAGAAATTCCCCAAATTTTGTCTTTCACTGTCACCGGAACTCTCTTTATCATCAACTGATTATTGAAGAAAATAGGCATTATTGCTATTTTCCGAAGAAAGCTTATTTCTAACATCAATTTCTATCTTTGCAAGTTGTAGCTGTATTTCTTGGACAAAAGCTCCAAGTATGTTACCTGTAATATGAACCTCAGTTTACAAAAGGAAAAATAGATAATAACTGGAAGTAAATTATTAAAAGTACTTGGATTATACCCAGTTCAGTTATTGTAGTGTTTCTGATTTGTAGCTTAAAATATTTGTAACATCAACTCTTACAGTAGTATATGGGTCATTACAGCCTTTTTTTTGTACTTTATGCTGTTGAAGCAGATATTATCAATAAAAAGGAAGTTTTATTTTAATATAAATAAGTAAAATTTTATAATACTTAATACCGAAAATTGCAGGAATTAGCTGATGATTGGACGAGAAAGTGTGAAGTGATGAAGCATTGCGAAGACATGTTAAAGTTCACATAGCTGAATTTGATCCATGTTTGCATCTTTTATTTATTTATTGTAAATAATTATATTTAATAATTCCCTTCCTAACCAATTTGTAACTGCATGTAGAATAAATACCTGTATTTTAATAATTTGAATTTTAAGAAAAAGTATGTTTGAAGCTGGTTTATTAATGCTTGTTCACTGTGTTTCTTTTATGCTGCTTGCTGTGTTATTTTATTCTGTCTACATTTATATATGTACAATCTTGACTTCTCATATTTATTTATTTTAATCTCAGTTGTTATTTCCTTCTTTTAATTATATTGATTTTAACATTGTACTATCTTTTAGTCCACTGATTTTTGCTGTATACTTTTAGAATGCTATGGATGGAAAATTAGAAGCTGCACATGATTGGTTGGAAGATCCAACTACCGTAGTTGGAGGTGTTGGTGAAAAGGCTCTCCGTTTGATACTTGAATATGCTGAACGTGTTGCCGATAGATGCCTTCCTCCTGATAACAGTGCTATTCAGAAAATGTGTGGTGATATTACTGCTATGACAAATGCCCTTTGTGAACTAAGGCAAGAAGGAAAAGTAAATATATATATAACAGTTACTTAGATTAAAAGATTTCCAACTTTACAGTTATCTTGCATTGTTGTGGAAATAAAACATATATTAGCATGTTAACTTTGAAAGGTGACTTAGTTACATAATTTAATGCTAATTTATTTTGCATTTAACTTGCGTGTACCTTTTAATGTAGGGAAGTGGGAAATAAAGCTGTTTAGTTCTTAGTTGTAAAATATTTGGTAATTTTTAATGGTTTTAATTTTTTGATTTATTTAAATTTTTAATTTTTTTTTTCTTCTTCAAAATGTAATACTTAGGTGAAGTTAAATGAATGTCAAGAATGGTTTTGTATGTAAAATTCATTCATTTTGTTCAAAATCCACAGAATCATAAACAAATTGTAATGAACCTACTTCATCTTGCAGACTGTAACAGAGGTGAAAAATATTTTTCGTGTTATGTTGGATGTTTTTAATAAAATTGATTCACCACATTGGCTTTTCATCTGTTCAGGCTTTTAAAACTGAAATTAGTATACATTTTAAAATTAAATAGCATAAAATTTATTTTCTGTTGAAAAAACTTTGAACTTTCTTTAGACAAATACAGTCAAAAGTCGCTAATTCGGACACCCATAATCTGGAATAATCTATAATCTGGACCTCAAAGCTACAAGCTTTCTGCGCATGCGTCACGTTCACACATGCGCACAGGCGTTTACGAGCGCGCGTAAGAACTTTACTGCTGCGAAAATGTTACATGCGCGCTTAATGTGTAATGGACGGTAAAAGCTAAGCTAAAATTAACCAATTCAGTTAATGTTGCAGATTGCGTTGTTCCTTAATCTTCGAATTGGATCCAGCTTATTATTTTTTGCAGACTGTTAGAGCAATTTCATAAAAGTAAGCTTGAACTTTCAATTATGTCAAATAGAATTTCCGATATATATTTACTAATATGTAATTTGTATCTACAAAGCGAAAGTATGTTTCGAAATCCGAAATCTGTTTATCAATTTCACGCCGCGGATTGGAAGTTGATCTGTCAGCACTATCCTTATCTTCAGGCCAGATGTTTTTATTTTATTTGGCTTATAATTCCTTACTAAGTGTAGTATTTCATCTCAATGTACTCCATCTTTGATATGATTTAAATCAAGCTCCTCGTCATTATAATTCGCTTCCGATAGTGAAGAATATGACCCAGAAGTTATTGAAAACGAAAACATTTCGATTGACAAATTAGTCAGTATTCTCAACACAGCAATTATAGGACTTGAACAGCGGAACTTTGTAACTAAACAAGAAATTATGTCTGTTTAATAGAATTAAAGAGAAAGTATTATCACATGAAACGAAGCAACTTACATTGAAAGAAATGTTTAATAAAGTAAACAAATAAATATTAAGCTTTTTTTTTTGTAAATTTTGATACCCTTTAGATCATAATTGTTCTTTATTTCATAAATTACGGTTTCATATTTTTAATTTTGTAATTTCTGCATGCCATCTTACCAGATTTAAACTGATGATCCATAATCTGGAAAAATCAATAATCCGGAATCGCCGAAGTCCCGACGAGTCCGAGTTAACGACTTTTGACTGTACCAAACACATAAAGTGTGAAAGAGTTTAATCCTGTTATATATCTGAGCTGAAAAGTATGCAAGTTAGCAACAAACTAGAGTGAAACCTCGTTACAACAATATTTTAGGGACCAAATAAATATATTGTTGTAGAGAGGCATATTGTTATTCGAGGGCCCACATATTTTGAGCATTTAATAAGAGTTTTTTTTTATTATTATTAGTTAAGGTGCATAACATACTACTTTTAAGTCATATTTAGAAGAAAATTAATTTGTAAAATACTAAAATAGGGGTTTAAATACTAAAAAAAATAAATAAATAAGATAAATTCAGAAAATAAGCACAGAATATTTACATACCTGAAAACATTTTTATTGAAATAATCCAATATTTTTGTTTCTTTATTCATTTTTTTAACTGTTAAGTTCACCAATACTGTATGCATTGAGTCTAGTCCAGAATGTTTTTCATTTGTCGACCGAAGGCTTGAGAAAAATGTCCGTAGAGAATTCACAGATTGAAGAGCTTCCTGGGATGACAATAAGGACTGCGATGGACCTGTATTATCATCATCATCAATATCATCATCATCTTCATCACTGTTTCCTATCTCATCAGTAATTTCAGAGAGAATATCTTCATAACTCTTGCGAAAACCATAAGATCATCATCTGCTGTTAATAGTCTTCTATATTAATTCCAAACTTTTTATGCTTGCTTCAATTGGGATACGGATTTTTGATGTCAAAACACATTCTTGATCATCTGAGAGATCATTGGCTATGGAATTTCATCATTATCGATTTCTTATCTCCTACACAAAGACCAGCCCTTTTTCCAGCAATTCCGAAGGGTTTTTTCTGTTACTTCCCACCAACTTCCAGCAATATTGTCACACAACGCTTCCTTGACATTTACAGCTTTGAAAGGGTCTTCTACTTTATTTTCAAAGTTTACAAATATGAAGTCCACCAACTGCTTTCTGTAATATCCTTTGAAGCACTTAATTATGCCCATATCAAGAGGCCGTAAAATTGAAGTGCAATTGGCAGGGAAAAAAGTGATTTCGATATTTTGTAGCTTTGGAAATGACGTGTGAGCACCGCAGTTATCTATCAACAAAACGATTTTTTTTCTTTCTCTTCGTCATTTCATTGTCTAACTTCTGTAACCATTCGGAAAAAAATTTAGACGTCATCCAAGCCTCTTATTTGCTTTATACTCCACGGGAAGACTTTTCAATTCTTAAAGCACCTTGGCTTCAATGATTTACCATGACGAGAGGTTGTATTCGATGCGTTCCTGTGCTATTTGTACACAGAAGAACATTCAGTCTCTGCTTTGATTTCTTTTCTTCCCTCCATAACACTTTTCACCCTTGAATGCCAATGTTCGATCGGTAGGATTGGAAAAAACAGCCCAGCTTCATCTGCAGTATAATGTCTTCTGGAGAACTTTTCTAAGATTTCTTTCATCTTGTTTTGCCGCCATTCATTTGCGTCGTTTATCGGGGCTGACTTTTTCTCTCCGTGAACTTCTTGGAAAGTTATTCCATGACGATCTCGAAAACGCATTAACCAACCTTGCTAGCTTTGAAAGTTTTCGTTCCCCTAGCATTGCTGCAATTTCGTGCTTTGCACATAATAAAGGTCCATTTATTGGGACATTTGTTGCTCTCATCCCTTGAAACCATTTTAAAACAGCAGCATGAATGTTTTCATTTGTCGCAACTTTCAGTCGTTTCGCTCTGGGTTAATTTCATTTGAAGTTACAGCATCTTCGATTTGCTTTCTCTTCTTTAGGAACGTGGCAACTGTAGATTGTGATAATCCATGTTTCTTAGCCGCATCATCTGCTTCATTCCCTCATCAATATCATTGATAACGTTCATTTTATCTCAAAAGATTTGGGCTTCGCCCTGCCATCTTAGGGAACAATATCGTGTTGAAAGAAAGAAAAGTTTTAAACCAAATGTTTTCGCGTAGAACTCAAAATCGGTAAAGACTAAAAACAACCTTTGAACTCACTTTCAGTACGTCACACTTAACAAACCACCCACCTCCATCTCCCCCTGTTCCTCTAACAAGGGCACTTGTTCTGTGACAAGGTGACCAGGCGGTCTAGATCTCCTTAAACCTTATCAAATCCAAAGCTTACTGGGAAATGAGACTAGGCATTACATTTACACTTCACCCCCCCCCTCACCCACTCCAATCCCAAAAGGGTGGTCTTCATCTGTTTTGAAATCTGAACAATATATTTATTCAGGGATAAGTTGAATATTCCACAATGAGTCTTAATAGACGGAAAAATAACAAAAGAAACGAAAAAAAAAAGCATTTGAAATCAAAATATTATATAAAGGAGAAATAATACTGAATTTAGATTGAAAAATCTTTTTACAGAGGTTTATTGTTCTAGAAATAGCAATATTGAGGGAGATTACCATTAGTTTATATGCAAAATCACCGGGACCACAAAACATTATTGTAGTAGAGGGAGTTATTGTTGTATCGGGTATCGTTGTAGCGAGAGTTTACTGTAATTGAAAACAAAAGGGAGCAAAAAAACCTTTTTCATTGGGCCAAGTACTTCCATAGTAGGCTTTTGTTATGTCTGAATCTTTCAATTAACTGTTTCACGAGAAGAGTGCTATAGAGTGGTGAATTTTGAAAGGACAAGAAAAAGACTGCATGAGCAATCAAGTATTGAATGGGAGTCCAGTTCAGTTTTGGGACGTATTATCAATTGTTGCTAACTATGATATCACATGGGACAACTTAACAATAAAATGCAATTAGAATAATCTTTATTTTAAAGCATAAATTATGAAGTATGTATCCAGCAAATTATATGAATCAGTTGTAAAGCAAATAGTATTATCATTAGAATAGAGATACCTGCATGAAGGTAAACTTTGCTAATGTAACTATATGAACAAATTATGTTAACAGTTTATTCAAACAGTCCCTGAAAAATAATTCCAGTTATTCAAGAAAACAAAAAGCATCGTGTCAGCAAAATAATGATATAAATTTAAGGTTAAAGTTAGATATTGTATAAATTGAAAGTATTGGAATTTATGCCTCTGATAAGAAACTGCATAATTAATACATTTTGTAATTATTAACAGAGTTTAATTTAAACTGTTCTTTCTTCAAATGATACTTAAAGATAAATGGTATCCAGATTCATAAGAAAATTCCTATGTAATAGCTCTTACGAGACGAAAATCAGGAAACTTAGTGCCAGAATTGTTCAAACTGAAGTTCACGTTTTCAAACTGAAGAAAAATATGCAACAATGTACTAATCGGATTCATTTTATTTCCTGAAACTGCTTACTATTTCAAATGCTTCAGTTCTTACTGACATTACTAGAGCAGTATTGCTAGGAATTGTTTACGGTTTTTCTTCTCTGAATGTTTCCACTTGTAAGTAGTTATTTTCTGAACTTTCTCACTATCAACAGGAACAATGCTCTATTGATATTGCATTTTCAGTTTCATGTGCTCATGATAATTCTGGGCAACTGTTATTTGCTGCTGCATGTTCAGTGCAATCTTGGCTAATGAAAAAAACTGAGGTATCTGACTCTTCAAGACATTGGTTCAAGACATCTTGGGGTAAAATAGGAACATTAGCTATGTGGTGGTGAGGAAACCTGCATGTTTCTCCTTCCCCACACAGTCTCTAATTTCCTCTGTGAAGTGAAGATGTCTATGGAAACTGATAGAGGAATTTTCTTTCCTCATTAATTTCAGCTCTTTGTTATGGTTTATACTCCTCAGTCCTTCACACGCAATGTCTTTCAGTATATCAGTTCCTGTTCTTTAACCACTTAACTGTTACTTTATTGTAACCAGTGTGGTCCAAAAAAATTTCACTTTTTTTATTAGTTTTATATAAAGTTTGGCTTCAAGAGAGGTTAATTTCATTTCACGTACCCTGAACTATTAAATTTAAGTAATTTAGAGTAACTCTTATGAGGAGATTTCTAAAAATTAACATGTTTTTCATAACCATATGGCTACATAAATAATAATTATATAAACATGAACTCTTCTGAGCTCATACTGTGTAAGCAAATCAACTGTGTCCTGGAAGTGATGCACATATAGCATGCTAGCAAATCAGTTAAGTGGTTAATCTGTTCCCATACTTTGATGGTTCTCTAACACCCAGTCATTTTGTGAGCCCTGTCATCGCTTTCTGCAGTGTGGATACCTCTTACACGCTGATGATTCTGTTGGCATTTAATGACAGTCTTTATTTTGTTTATTGTTGTCTTAACCAACAGTGGTCTTAAAATCTTTGTTGTCCACTATTTGAAGTGCTTTTTGTGTATCAGGAATCCTTAATAGCATTAACAAAATATTGTGGATTTAGTGTATCATTAATTTCTCCACTATTGGAAAATGTTAAATGAATAAATTGTTTTACACTTGTCATAAGTTCTTAAAGATGTTGGTGAACATTTTCGGATTCTAAACCTGCAGTGGGTAATAATTGAGAAATTTTCCATCAAACCACAACTCTAAAGCTTTAACATCTGATTATTTTTCATCTGGGAGCATCTATAAAGTGCCTGCAGTTCCTGCTTGTAAAGAAGGCACCAAATGTAACACTTAAGATGGAATCCCAATGATTTGCCTGCAAAATCAAGTCCTTTCGAAAGCACATTTCTGTGTAGAACAATAAGGAAAAACTTCCTATTTTTCACATCTTGAGGTTGGCAGCAATAGCTGTGGTGTTGTGGTATATGTCAAGTAATCAAAATGCATAAGAATAAGCCATGTTATGGCAAACCATGATATGATAAAAAAAAAATGCAATTTTAAACCCAGCTAATTTTTAAAAAATTATATGGGGAAGTGCATCTTGGAATCGGAGAAATATGGTAATTTATATAAAAATAATTAATATATTAGATTTAGTGCAATATTTTATACTCTTCAGTATTGTGATGTGCATCAAATGTATATTAATTGTACAGTGTACTCTTAATTAGCGAGTGCGGATTATCCATGCATGACAGTTACCAAGCGTATACACTCAATACAATGTATGATAGTGTGTAATAAAAGGGAGCATGCACAAGTCTGAACATGCTCTATAAATCACAAAATTGCATCCTTAGGTTTAGTTTCATCAGTTACCTCATACAATTTATTCTGCATGTGCACAGTCGAAGGCATCATTTCGGTTGATCACTGGGATTGTTTTGTACATATTTTTGTGTATATTTTTGTAATTTTTTAATAATTTATATAAAATTTCAGAATTAAAAAATGAATAAAGAACACACTACATGTACTAAGCACCAGAAAATTGCTTTAAAGCGAAAACTTATGCTAATTAACAAATTTTTGCATGGTGCATCAGCAATAAAGCTCAGTGAAGAATTATAATTTTTCTTGCAAACTGTTTATAATATGATTTTAAAAAAGAAGTTGGAAGACTTCGAAAGAGATTGTGACAGTGCAGCAAGTGTTTGTTTCTAAATATAAGAGCATGGAACTCTTAACACATGAAGAGTTAAGATTCAGCTATGTTGACAGGGTTTAACCAGAGTACATCGAGGAATCATTACACATTAAGGAATGGTTAAATGTATAATTCATATGAGCTGGGCCTTTCAGTGCTTGAGTGATGTGGGTATCATTTCTAATGTGTAAGAACAGAAGAGGCACAGAGTGATACTGAAATTACTACCAAATAAGATAGTGTGAATTATGTTAGTCTGAGACGACTAGAGGTGATTTGAATACAGTGATGAAACAGCTGTTGAAAAATATTCAATGAAATTTGATAAATATTTAAACGTTCTCAAAAACAAAGTAAAATTACTAATTTTTTAGAGATAAGCACAATAAGCATGAAAATTTATAGTTTGGATTATCCATGTTTTCAATTATCTATGACCGTACATCCTGAGTATTTGAGAGAGCATTAGCCTGGGTAATTGAGAATACATTGCATTTTGATAAATGTGTTGTTGATTTCTTTATGCTATTAAAAAAAAAAAAAAACTCTTATTACAAATCTTTTGGGCCTTTTTTTCAGGGCACTACTCCGCAAGCAGAGGCATTGTCAAGAGGTATTAGTCAGAAACTACGAGAACTTATAAGATTAGTTAGCCAAGGAATATCTAATGTAGAGAGAAGCAGTACTCAACAACCGGCACACACCTTACGTGGAAGAATTGAACAAGCTCGAGCATGGTTGACAAATCCATCATTTAATGACAGTGGCTTAGGTAATTGCATACTAAGAAATCTATTAGTTAAAGGCAGTGTTTAACATTCAAAATCTAATCCTAAATGGTTTTAATTATTTTTCAGTCTTTCGCTTGGTTCAGACTTATATTGCTGTAAAAGCTTTTGAGTGCATATATTCCTATGTGTATACTTTTAGCCTACATGTTATAAATTTGTCTATTGTAGAATTAATACAGAATAAATTCAAAGTTCTGAATTTTATGTACAGTGGTGATGCCATTTGAGATAGCAGAGGCTTTGTTAACTGTTCAGCAGATGAGAGATCTACATGCAGCATTTTTTAAATAATTTGTTACATTTTTTTAACTATAAAAGTTCAGCCTTTTTCAAAATATATGATTTCAAAATGTATTAATTATATGCATTAGCTATAAAGAGTTTTAATATCTTTGCCTTAATTCCAGCAGCACATTAAAATTTAATTTGTTTAATCTGTGAGTGGTAAAACCAAAAATTGTTTACATGTAATAAATATGATGTCTGATTAACCGCCTTTTGGAGCATTTGCTTGTCATCTTCATTGTCATTAGTATGCAGAAGTGGTAATGATGTCATTATTCAGTTATTTGTCTATGAATTTTTTATGTTGGAAACTAAATGTTAGTGTTTTAAACTTTCATGACATATCTTTGATTTCTTTAAACCGGTAGTAATGTATTGCTGCAATGTTTTCAAGTTGTGAGCAAATAAATAAATATCTGCGTTGTATATTAAATTTTATGAAGGTAGCTGAATTAAAGATTATTGAAAGCTAGGAAAGCCATGCTGTTTATTTTGAAGGACAGAGAAATCTAAAACTTGTTAAAAAGTTCTGTTTGCAATATTTTGGTTGTGCTCTGAACCATGCTTGTAATTTACTGTCTTCCAAAATCAAAAATCTTCTGGTGAATTAGAACTTCGTAATAGCTTACTAAACTATCAGATTTTCCCATGTTTTAGTGAGTGATTCTAATTTCAATCTATGTTATTGCTTCTTTTTAAAGTAGTTATTTTGTAATTTTATTTTCATTTTTTGTAAAGTTATTTTGGCATCGCTTGTGTTAGTTTGACGTTTCATATTTGTACAGTTTGGTTTAGTTATATAATTATAGGCATAGTGTGCATCTACGTAGGCTTTGAAATGTATTTTTGTGCTTGCATATTATCTGATATAGGGAATTTAGAATGGCACTAAAGTAGTATATGCATCAAAATGAGTATTAACCGTTTAAGACCAATGTTGCATAGGTGCGACACAACGATACCTCTATTACCAGCCTCACTAATATACAAAGAGCTCTAATCAATCTTTTCATGTCGGTATCGCGTATGCATAATTTGGAAATGGAACAATTTATTTGAATTTTTAAATATCAGCAGATGGTGCTAAATGGTAATGTTTTTTCACATCGTTTAAGTCATGTGGCTTTTGACCTTCATGTATGAGTATCAGTTTCTGTTCTGTGCTTCTGGTTTGGATAGATTTATTGGTGTAAATGAACTGGGAATAGCAGCTCTTTAAACTAAAGAGACACTGGCGTCTTTTTGTTTTCATTTTTATTCCTTGCGTTTTTCATTATTAGAATGTGGGGAGGTGCATCCAGCTCACTGTTTTCTTTTTTTATTAGCAGAACGTGGGAAAATGTATCTAGCTGACTAGTGGGTGTAACGTTGCCTAACTTCCTTGATAAAAAAACTCATACCATTTATTTTAAAACTTAACATAAGCTTTCTTGATTAATTAAAAAGTAACATTACAGTATTATTACGGAAGGGAAAAGACATCAGCTTTCCCGATGCATGACGCATCTTAGTTGTTTGGCATATGCTCAGTGAAAAAAGCCATCATTGTTTGATGTGTCGATCCTCGTTTTGCTTTATTGCACACACAGCAGAATTTTTAAATTGAAATTTAATTACCTATAGATAATTATTGATTAATTTTCTTTTTCATTTTATGTTTGTAATTTTGTTTTTATGTGTATGCTGATTGCTTTAATTTGTATAGTTATAATTTTAGTATTTTGAATGTTTCATTTATTTCTATTAACGTGATATTCTTTATGTTAATCCAGATTAAGAACGTGACTTCAAAAATTGAAGTCATTATATTAAAATGCTGATTTTATGTGGAAATGTTTTTTGTAAAATTAACTTTAATTGCTGAAAATGCATGGGCCGGTGGTGATGTTCCATTTCGAAGGGGTCCGGTCCAGTGACTGTGCTTCGTTCTCTGCGTGCTGGTCCTCAAGGGATTAAGGATGGTTGCTGATTTCTTTTCTTCCTGTATTTCACCTGCAGACAACTCTGAAGATAATCATTCTACTCAGTGGCAGCTTTATTGACCATACAACATTCTTCTTGGATGTAGTTGTCTGATGCTAACCTTTATCAGCAATAGTAATGGATTGTGTGGCTGTAATAAATGTGATCCTTCTTCCTTCTAAAAAATTTTCTTCTGTTTTTTATTCATACCATCTGTCTGATGTTTCTATTATGGGTTTAAATACTTAGCAATGTGAAACAATATAATTTTTCATTAAGGAGATGATAAAACTGCAGCATAGACTTTTAAAAAAATGCATATATCTTGCAGAGATCAAGCATTAGCATGACATAATGGTTTCCACTTGTACAGGCAGTTTTTTGACGGGCAATTAGATGTTGAATCGTCTTAATTGCTTGCTAATATGGTCTTGATACTTGGTATGGGCAGTGAGGTGTTGAGTAATTATCCTTTTAGCATCTCTCATACATGCTGTCATAAAGGTTCAGAAGCTGCAGCTGAAAATTTCCTTTTGTTACTTCAAATGATAGCATTTGAATTTAACATCAGTAACTATTAAGCCTGAAAAATTTATGAAGATTTAGGGGTAGGTTAATTTACATTTCGACAATTCAGGGTACAATTAAAATCTCCAAGAGGAGTTTATCATTAAAAATGTTTAAGATTTAAAAAAATCATATATTTAAAATGAGTTATTCAAAAGACAGTTTCAAATGATAGAGAGAGAAACTTACTATGAAATTATTCTATTATAAATTAACACTGTGTTGAGAGTTGTGCATTTTTTCATTGAATTGCTTGTGTACGGGTTTGTGACAAATATTTCTTGCACATCAAGTGCCTTACAGTATAATTCTGATAATCTCTATATTTTGGAATCATATATTACGTGCATTAGAGTATTTTGTGGCTTATGGGTCCTGTCTTGCTAAGTTTTGCTTATGTATTTCTTTTATAATTTTTACACTGAATTTGATTTGATTGCACATAAGTAACTAACAATCATACTTTAGGAATTACTTAATTCAAATTAAAGATACTGCAGTGTTATATACTTTTTAAAATATATTTATATACAAAGAAAATGTCAGCATAGGAATAATATTGAGAGACATGATAATTTGTAGGGCATTTGTTTTTAGAAGGTGAAAAACTCATTTTTAAAATTTATTTTCATAAAATATTTTTATGCATTTTGTAAAAATGCATCAAAATACTTATGAAAAAATATTGTGTATCACACAAAACTATATTGCTTCTAATACATATATAGGTAAATAAATAAATGTACATTTTGCATGAAAGAACTTATAGTATTTTGTAAATTAATTCCTGTACTTTATCTGAATAGACTGAACTATTATGGATTCTCTGTAATTTCTACATTTTTCATCCTTAGTTTAAAAATTGTGAGTTACAGATATATGTAGAAACTGGATTTTAACAGAAAGGGAGTATAAGAAGGAACCATCTTATTCAGCTGATGATTGGTGAAATGCTTGTGACATCATCTGTCACGTGTTAAGTTAAAAGTCTTGCTGGTTTTGATCAGTAGCCAATTGTTGATCTGCGTATCCGTACCAGCCGTAGCATATGAATATAAGAAGGATCCTTTTCAGTGAAGGGCTTGTTTACTCTGCAGGTTGTTTTTTGTGTTCATTTAGATTATGGGAGAAAACATAACACATGCATCGTGTAAGTTGTGGTTAAAGTGTAAGTATTTTATGTTTGTGAATTATGCCACCTCAAAAAAGTGGCTAAAATTATCAAGATATATAATTATCAGAATCAGAAATTTAAAGTTAAAATTATCAGAAATTTAATGACTGATATTTTACAGAATTTTCATGCAATAAGCCCAAGTGTGTCAGGTTTGCAACCTATAGGTTGCATGTGGACCTTGAGTCCTTTTTTGTAGCCTTTGATTCACCTGAGAAGATTAACAAAATATATGAGTAAAAATTAGAATTCCTCTGAATAGTGATGGGTATATACAAACATGAATGCTGAAATGATCTCTTTAAAAGAAATTTTCAACTGATATTGAAAAAGCACCAGCCCAAATGTAGAATCATTAGGTTTATTGTGGAGCTGGAAAAATCATTCTTGACCTTCCAATTGCTAGCAGTACCTACTTTTCAATTACAACCCAAATGCATAGTGAGAAGAAAAGAAAAATTCATTTATTTAAAGATGAAATTAGCAGAAATTTATTATGACTCAGCTCTGAATCAAAATGAGAAAATCATTGAATCATTGCATTATACAAATACTTGCCTCTGATATCCACTGGAAACTGCAAATCTGCATAGTACGTGATTTCTTTGTTTGGGTTTGGTGTGAGAAACTTTTCTCATTTTTGAAAAGGAAGAAGTTCCCGCAAGATCTAGGTTAACAGACATTTATTTGAGCTCTGTTCTGAAAATCACTAGTGCAAGCAGCATGTCTTCAGAAAGCTGGTTGTTGGGGAAAAGATGATAGGTGTCGAAAAAGAAACAATAGGTATCCATCTCCTCGGATTTTTTATGTTCCTTCTATGTTTAAAAAAAATGTAGTATTAAGCAGGATTTTATGTATTTCAACCATTTTTAAATACATTATTATATACAACCATAAATGCTAAAATGGACCCTTAAAATGATCTCTTTAAAAGAAATACTCTTTCAACTGATGTTGAAAAAGGCCCTAGCCCCTTTGTAGAATCATTAGGTTTATTGAAAAGCTGGAAAAAGGAAAAATCATTATTGACCATCCTATTGCTACCAGTACTTGCTTTTCAACTACAGCCCAAAGCATTATTGTACATGATGAGTATTTGGTCACTTGAAATAGTGAGTTTGACATGCTTTCATTAAAGCATTGAAAATTTCTGTAAATTGCGCACATTGCATTATACAACAGAGACTTTTCAGTTGCACATGATGGAAGAAATGACTATAAACTATATGCATCAGTTTTCTTCATGAAAGCCAATGAAATGGATGTTATAAAAGCCAAATGCTGTTTTGTTTGATTTTTAATTGAATTCAGCGTTGTGATTTAAGTTTCCCATAATTCAAAACAGCTTTTTGATGCAGCATTTCTGGATTCTGCCGTAGGAAAAAATTTAGCTGTGAGCACATGAAAAGTGCTACTGTTAGGAAAATGTTTGCAGAATCACCGTTGCAAATATTTTAATATCAATGTGCAATACATTATTTACTCAAAAGTACTTATGATAACAGATTGATATTCCCTTTGATTAAGCCATAGCAAAGAAAAAAAGTGTAGCAATTCCTTTCTGTTTTAGAATGCACATATAATACCAGATGAGGTATTTTTAACCCTCTGACTGCTCAATTTGTGGATCGAAATCGCTTCCAAAATTGCGTTTTTTTTTTTTTTTTTTTTTTTTGCATATTTTAAATCTATATATATATATATAGGAGAATTGAAAAATGCACTTTCTTCTAGAAAAATTTTTTATATAGATTTTTATCATGAGAAACTAAAGTTGCCAGAAAAAAAAACCAATTTCAGATGTTATCACAAAAAAAAAAAAAAAAAACTTTTTTAAAATAAATTTCAGTCGAATTACAGTTAATTTCTATTTATTACATAATATAAAAAGTAAAATTTAAGAAAATATAAAGCACTGAGGGAAAAATACCTTAAAAATGCAGTTTAGTATGATAGAATTCAAACTTCACAGTCTTTGCACCAAATTCAGTAAATCTAATTATTAACCTAATCAATAATTTAATTAAATAATCAAGATAATCGCTGAACGTTTTCTAGCAGCCATTTCTGTAAGAAAAAAGGGGCAAAATTGAAGTTTGAGAGCTAATACCACGTGCCTTCAAATGCCGCAATTTAGTGGACAACTAATGATATCTGTTGACCAAAACGTAAACTAAACACCTAATACTGTATATAATTTATTTCAATGGTTAAACGGGATGCACTCCTCAATAAAGGAAGAAAAACATATACCCGCGGAATGAGCAAATTTTGTTACATTTGAGTTGCCCGTGGAAATCGCGAGTTGATCAGCCAGAGGGTTAATCATATAAGTGAATATTTTATAAACAAAAGTTTAGAATGGAAAAACTGCTTATCATTTTCTTCAAACAGCTTTGGTAAAATGTTGGAGAAAATATTTAAAAATTAATTGGCACATATTATTAAAATGAAGTTAGAATGAGATAAAATAGCTAGGTTGATATGTTGGAACATCATTTAAACTCAGAAGTACATAAGCTTTTGCAAGCAACCCATCTGCTGCAACAGCGGGAGCTGGAATGGATGGTTTCCTCACATTCATCGTCTTTATTGGTTTCCACAGGGTTGCCGAGCAGATGTATGGAAGATTGAAGGAAAGATCTCTGTTGCAACACAGCTTAGTGCTTCTCTGGTTTCATGTGCCTCTGTAGTTTGAGTGTGTTTTTATGCTAGGGTTTGGTGATGATGTTGGTTTCGTCCTACTTAGTCATTGAGTGTGGATGCTCGACGAAGTATTTGACTAAGGATGTGCTATTTCATTGATTAAATGGTTGACAGAGAGCTTGGAGATTATTATTATTATTTTTTTATGTTCAGAAATTTTTATTGATAGTTTTCTGGCCATTGATCTGATATATGTTTGACAGAGAACTTGGAGGTACCTTTTTTATGTTAGGCAATTCTTATTGATAGTATTTTGTGTGTTGAGCCAATATATTGAGTTTTTGTGCTTTTATCTTCATTGCAAATTAGGATAGTGTATGCACCAGAAGTATCTCTTGTGGAGATGTCTGAATTATCTGGTCTTAATCATTTCTAGATGGGTAGGGCTGGGGTAAGGGCAAGTTTTCATAAATAAATCTTTTAAATGTAGAAGATATGCATGTTGTTTATTTTTAACAGTATATAATTATTCATACAAAATTAACTATATGAAACTGTCTGTCGATCTACGTTATTGTTTACAATAATAATGAGAACTTCGCAACAATACTAATTTATTAAAATGGTGAAAATTCCACTGCTTGTAAGTTGGCTGGGTGGTGAATTTATTGCTGTATACTTATTACTCTATTAATATGTTTGTTTTCCATGATAACAAGCTTGCGACCTATTTTATTAATATAAATTAAAAGTATTTCTATTTTGGCAAACTGCTTAAACAATTAATAAAATTATAGTTTTCCTTAATTCTTGTTGCTACTGTTATAGAGTTCTTTGGATCTCACTTAGACATCCTTGTTTAAAAAAAAAACTTTGTTTAATGTTTTTAGAATTTTTACTAGGATTAATGTAAATAGTTTCTAATATTTGGAAGCTTCGTTTTACATTTAGAAAGAAACATAAAAACCAAACTACTTTGATCTTCACACTAATTTGTAACTTGAAAAATATTTTTGAAGTCTTAAGCTTGATTCCTTTTATAAGTTCTTCTGTTATTTTGAAGGCCACCAGGCAATTCAGCTTGTTGTTGAAGATGGCAGAAAAATCATCAATAGTTGCCCTGTTGCTGAACAGATGTCGATACAAAAGTTATGTTCAGAAACTGAAAGTCTGTCACGGCAGCTTGCTGAAATGTGTCGTATGGGTCAAGTAAGTAATTGTTTACTTTCTCATTTTAATTTTTTGGTGAATTTTATTATAATTTCTTACTATAAATACATTATGCACAATTTACGTCTCAGAAATCTTTAGTTATTTTCTGTTGTACTGATACAAGTAATGCCCGTAGGTGGCTAAATGTACAGAAGTTGCATTTATTTCCTATGATGAAATGTTCCTGCTTTACATGTTGTCAATACTTGCCCTTCTTCTTAAAGAAATGTCACGTGTCCAAACATTTGCCTTGTGTGTAAACTAGTATCTTGTGTATTCTGATTATATATTTATGCTGATTATTATAAGGTAAATAGCTTTGTGCTGTGAAATAGAATCTAAGGAAGAAATCTGAAAAGTTCTGCAATGTTTCAAATCAAAGCTCGTTTTCGTATAATTATTTTGTTACTTCTGATATGAAGTGACCTTGATCAAAGCAAATGTTTAAATACAGACATTTCAGCTTATGTACAATTTTAGCATGTGATGCGGCGTAATTTTTGTTTCAATGTACTGCTAAGAATGGGCAGCTAAAAATTCATTTTCATCATTGGCTTTTTTATTTTGCTTGTCAGACTGTTGATCAGGTATATATGGGAAAAGAATTGTTTGAGGTGACCAGTTCAAAGGAGGTTGTAGAAATTGGGAAGAAAGTTTGAGAAGCATGAAAACTTCTGTTACGGATTTGTATTTAGTTGGCTATTTTTAGTAGAATTATAATTAAAATTGTTTTATTTCCCCATGCAATGCATTATGAGACACATTTTAAGACAAAGCTAAGCCGGACGAGTAAAAATACAAGAGCACGCACATTTAACAAATAGATATCTCGTAATTTATATTTAAACTGTATAAATGTAATTGACTACTGTGTTAGCTGTTACCCTACTTCTACTCTTTTGTTTCCAGAAACAAATTAACAGAACATTCTCGTGCACGATTAAAAAGCTTTAAAAAGACACTGAGAAACATCTTAGTTCAGTTGTTTACTGAGTTATTGTTGTTGATTGTAATGAATTCGCGGCGAGACTGGATTAGCTTTCTCTGCGCTTTGGATTGCATTTTATTTAATGTTTTAGTAGTTTAAAATATACTGCTAACTAACTAATGTGATATTATATGAATATGTTTGAGGAAAACCTAGCATTTTGTTACATTTCTTGTGATAAGAATAAATTAAGTTCTTATTCGAATTGTGCATTCAATGTATTACGAACCCATGCGCATGCAACACTTAAGCTGTGAAAACCATCTTCTGTAAACAGGGTCCTATTCCAAAAAGCTGCTGCTGAAAATTAAACTTACACAGTTCAGCAGCAATCAGAGAGAATACGTATTAGAGGGGGGGGGGGAAATCTGAAAGCTTTCAGATTTTACATTACGCCCAGAGGGGCATTTCTTTCAAATTTTGTGTGTTACCTTTATTTATTAAATATCATGTTCTTCCCACTTATAAAATTCAATTCAAAAGCATTATTGCAAAATAATTTTAAAATGAGGATATCATTCGAATTTACAATACACAGTCTTGCGCTGGAGATAAAAACGTCCCCCCGCACACTTTTGCCATTACTGTCTTTTAAATCATTGACTTTGTTTATCAAAAATTCGTGAAAGTGTTACAAAATATGAAATCAATAATAAAACAAATTCCAAATTAGGGCTTTCAGATGCCCATATTTGGTGGAGGACCTTGTTATTTAGAATTTGATGGCTCTAGGTAATGTTTTATCACAGTACATACATAATTTTATGATGTTTCTTCATTATTTAACTTCTTTAAATATACACAGGGCGATAATATTTGGTGGCAACAATTTGAAAAATGAAACAGTCGTTTAAAGTTTTTGACGCAAAACAAAATTTATGGGCTAACGCCCTCTAGGCTAAAAAAATTTACATCATCATTTTAAGAGGGACCCCATACTTTAACAGTGCATGATGTGCTTGCTGAAGTTCTAACATGTAATTTTTTCCTAAAAAAAATAACCTCTCCCTTTTTGAAATGGCTCATTACTAGAGATGAAAAAGAGACGGTGTACAATAATGTTATAAGAAATCATGGAGAACTTCTCTTAGTGACATCAGAAATGAAGCTGCATACCAAAAAAGTAATGTTTTGTGTATGGTGGGAAAGGAGTTGTGTACTATGAAATATTGCCACCATATTAGACAATAAATTTGAAAAAATACTGTTCCCAAATGGCAGTTTTGAAAACAGAAATCGAAGCAAAGTATCTAGAATTGATAAATCTTTGAGGTGTTGTCTTCAATCATCATAATGCTTGGCTGCACTTTTTGGTAAATGTCGAGTAGAAACTTTGTATCGAGTATGACTAAAGTGTTTTGTGTCACCCCTCATATTCATTAGATCTTGTTGTCTTGGATTTTCATCTCTTGAAGTTACTTCAAAATTCTCTGAATAGCTTGGAATTTACTTTCTTGAAGATTTTCAAACAACACATCAGTAACTTCTCCACAAGTAAACCTAATGAATTTTTTTAAAAAAGAATTTTTAAGATGTCAGAGAGATGGCAAAAAACCAGAATAAAATTGTCTCTGTGTAGTAAATTTAATGAAAGTTTCTGATTTTTGTGCATTGCTTCATTTGTATGCATCATTATAAAACAGCAAAACTGTTGAGATGACCCAATAAAAAAGGGATGCTAGTTAACATAAAATTTATTGTTGATCATAGTTTTGTTTAAACTCAGGGTAAACATATCAAAAGTTTGTCTTTTGTGACAGTACACTTCTGTTGGTACTTATCATAGCTCTTTGAATGATTTTTTAAACTCATTTTGTGAAGTATTTGTCAGTTTTAATTGATATTTCGATATTCAGATGTGTCATGCTGGAAAAATTCGTGACTATTAAGTCAACAGGCTGATAGTCAGGAAACTGGTAAAGTTGGAGATCCAAGGTCACGATAGATATGGTGGGATAAAAATTTCACCCATATCTCTATGACATATTCTGGCATTTTATTTGGTAAGAAATTAGGTTGGCGTAACTATGGGTAAGAGCTTTTCACATAAGACCACCCAAAATGTAACTCAAATGCTCCTGTGTTGCTCAAAATGTACTACTTTTTACTATTTCCATTCTCACTTAGAGCACCATATCTATCGTCAATCTACTAAAATTAACAGAGGAATCCGTTGAAGTAACTGTTTGAAATTATTTGTCAGCACAAGATCATCCTGTAAATCATTCAAAGGGTTAATGTCCTGGATAAATATAAAGACAACTAAATGGATGGATTTAACAAGTGCAACAATTGGAGATAATAGTTTTGATAGCTTGGGTGGTAAAACAATCTGTACAGTGTCAATATATCCATTGATTTTGGGTTCATTTCTTTTGTGAAGTTCAGGTTTGTAAAAATAACTAAGCAAATGTGTTAAATAATTTCATTATATGTATAACAGGAGGTAAGTGAAAAGTGAATTTTTAAAAAAGTTAGTTTAATGAGTTAGTTTTCTAATCTTTTTATGATTTTTTAAAATTTAAGAAATTTTATTTTGTTTGTTTTACATATATGATTATCATTTGATTTCTTCTATAATTTTGTTAGTTTTATTATTATTATGATTTTCTTGTTTTATCAGGGTTCAAGTTATCAGGCAGTAGCAATAGCCGAGACAATATCAGGTAAATTGCAAGAGCTGAAAAACAAAATTCAGGAAACCATTGTGAGCAAAGTAAGAACTTTTTTAAAAGTTTTGTGTCCTTTTTAATGAATGATTTAAATTCCCCTCCCCTGTATGTTGACTGAAATTGAAAAATTCTTATCATTGATTGCCAAAAAAGATATGTATGAAAAGTGTGCCACAGTCAAATTTCAGTAATTTAAATATCACATTTCGTTGCATATTCCTCTCCTTTTTTTACTAATTTTAGTATGCAAAAATTATGTGAATTTTTTAACTTCCAAAGAACACTGTTACAGTAAGAACAAGATAAATGAAAAGTACTCATGGGTAAACTGCCAGTGACTATCACAATATTATTAATTTGGAATAAAAATCTTTTCAATAAGAATGCATATGAACATTACAATATCTATCACCTTAATTTCTACTTAATCTCTACTCTCGCCCATTTTTATTGTTAGCCATTGCTATTCCCTACACCTCAAATTATTCATTGCTATTGGAACTTCTGTCTGTCATGTGTTACAGCTTGCAAGTCATTTTCTTCAAAACCGCTGTCATCATATTCATCACTGATCAAGCTGTCTTGCACATGCAATATTTTTAGAACCATTAGGTGTTTGATATCTGCATTTTCTTGATGCTCATCATTATTCTTGCTTCCTCAATTGGCCCATGCACCCAAAACCTACAAGCAAATCAATTAATGAATATGAAAACAATCATTACATAGATGAATCCATTTTAAAATTTAGGGAAGCTCACTTTCTGAATGCTGTGAAGAAGAGGAAAATTATGTGAATACTTGGATTTCCTGAAAGCTAAGGGGAAAAACATGCAAGGGGAAAGAATATGCTAGTAAATGGGTTAATTACTTTACCCCATTCAGTTTAAAAACTATGTTTTGGAAATGCTGTAATATGAACAAATGTATTTTTTAAGTAAATTTTCTTTCTTTCTTCCCTTTTTATGTTGATTTTATTTTGACCAAGTACAAAGGTGTTGCAGAAAGTATGCAACTTTTAAATGAGAAGTAAATCGTTTTCTGTGATATATACTCATACTACAATATGCAGGTTTTTTTAATTTCAAAATGTAATTTTATAACTGATTAATTAGGTAATATGCATATTTTTGAATGACTATTCCTCTCATAAGAGTCCACTTTTTAGAAGATGATTGAATAAGGTATAGATGAAATAGCTGATTTGGTATTTTCATTTTTATTGAAATAATAGAACAGTGTCTAATAGGAAGAATAATCATAATTAAATAAATAAGAATAATCATAATCAACCTGTATTTCTAGATATCTTTTCCAAGAGTAAGGTGTGGTAAAAATTGGGTCATCAAGAGGTGTATTTATAGTTTTCTCTGAAACACCATATGAAAATATTAAATAATATATATTTTTTTTTTAATGTTTGCACACTATGTGAGATATTCTGGTAAATTTTTTTGAGTATGAGAGATGAAGAATGTGTGAGCGTATGCAATACACAATACAAGAAAATTATACTTTATTCTTCTGAATATATTTAAATTTTGAACAGAATAAGAAAGTATTTATTTTTCTTTAATCTATCCCTATTTCAAAATTACGGGCATAAAAAATATTGTTTGCTTATTGAAGAGTTTTGCTTTGAATTACTTTAATAAACTGACGAACAGTTGCTAAAGACGGATCACAAATGGCTGTATAATGCTTAAAAAGTGTGGTTGGATGCCAAGTGAAATAAAATAATGCCAGAATACTAGGACATAACAATAAAGAGAAATTTTTATCCTCTGAAATCCAGGAGACTTTGAAAAGTGTTCAAGGTACAATCTGGTCATTTTTGCGATGAATTCGCAATAGTGAAAAAAATGCAGTTACTGTCTGCAGGCATTCTAGTGTAAGATGTCAGTAGAAGATGCCATGGAGGGCAATGGAAGATTCCTGACATCGTGTCATGCTTTGCACAGCATTATCCAGCAGCTGTTGGTGTAATTTATCCCATTCCTCTTGTCAGTACACAGATCAGGGTACTCTCCTTTATTGGAGGTGGGATAAGGTCACATAGAATTTTCTTTGTCTAGGATGAATGATTTCTGAATGCATTGATAGCTCTTTCAGATCAGAGGAGAAATCTTATTTTAACGAGGTGCCTTTGTTAATGATTCCGGTTGCAGCCTCGAAGGTTACTCCAAGGGACAAAGGAATAAAAGAAGTCTTTTCGTCAGTCAGAATATGGACAAGTGAAGGAATCTCCCCCCCTCGATTTTGGAGAAATTATGCCAGTTATTCGAGACTAGGCTGATGTTTGATATAGCTCTGTTATGGGGGATTAAAATTTTTCTTGTGGTTAAGGTTTTGGTAATTGAAATTTAGCTGTTTGTTCTATTGTTCTAGTAATAATTTATATTGCTTGAAGCATTGCAACGGTATGCTTTACAAAAGTTTATTTTTTTAAAAATCAGTCCAGAGTTATAGGACAAAAGTTTTATGGTTAGTGCTAGAAAAAGTTTCATGTTAATTTAGCATTTCTGATTTATGTTTGTATGTATATGTTAAACATTTAGAGATCATTAAGGCAATTAGTGTTCAGAAATTATTAGGCTGTTACTCGGTTTTGGAGAAATAGACCTGTTTTTGTACTTTGAGGTAGGTTATTTTCTTAACTATTTTTTCCATAATGGGAGAGTTTATGAGGAAATTTACTAAAGCTCTGCCACTAGAGTTAGCGGAAGAGTTTGATACAAATGTGTCTCACAAATGTGTCAAATTATTAGGCTGTTACTCGGTTTTGGAGAAATAGACCTGTTTTTGTACTTTGAGGTAGGTTATTTTCTTAACTATTTTTTCCATAATGGGAGAGTTTATGAGGAAATTTACTAAAGCTCTGCCACTAGAGTTAGCGGAAGAGTTTGATACAAATGTGTCTCAGGCAAATAAAGTAAGAGGAATTAGGCAGGCTATTCTTAATACTGAGGACTCGCCCATTATGGAAGGGAAGTGGCAAAAGAATACATGGCATGAATTTGGGCTGCAGCCGAGCAGGAAAGTTTAGAAAAAATGGTGGACTATAAGAGAGCAGAACAGGAACGGGAGCAAGTTTTTGAATTGGACAAGTGAAAGTTGATGAAAGTGGTTGAGACTAATAGCTTAGCTTCTACGGGTTTGAGAGTTGAACATCCTAAAGAAAAAAAGGCTGATTTTGAAAGATCTGGTACCACGTTTTGAATCGTGTAATATAGATATTTCATTATTCTTTATGCTATTTGAGAATCAGGCTTTAAAAGAGAATGTTAATGAGATCGATTGGGTCTTGCAATTAATTCCTTTATTACCTCATGATGTAGCTCAATTAATACTAAAAGAACCAGTGGATAAAGGGGAGGATTATCAGCATGTTAAAAAATTACTCATGCATAGATTCAAGCTCAATTCTTTGGCTCTAAAAGCAAAATTTGAAGAGCATCCTAGAAAGAATGGGATATTGTAGGTGGATTTAGTATATGAATTGAAAGTTTATTTAGAGAACTGGTTGGATTCAGTGGAAGTTCAGGATTTTTAAAGTCTTAAAGAACTTATGCTTAAAGAGCAAATTAAGCAGTGAGTCCCTTTAGAAATAAGAGAGCACCACTTAGACAATTGGGAAGAATTTAAAACAGCTTCTATTTTAGCAGAGAAATGTGGCAGGTGTGAGGCTTTGCGAAGAGATTCGAGGAGGTTAAAGCAGTGAGCGAGGTTTAAGAAACCATTTGAGAAAACTGGAGAGCGGTATATAAATTTCAGTGGTAGTGATAATCAGAAAAGTAATGGTCATCAAAGAATACAATCGAAGGAGCATAGAAAAGTGGAGGCTTTTAAAAAAGAGCAAGCTTTCAAGGAAGCAGGTTTCAAGAAACAGCTGAAAATAAGGTGTTACCAATGTGGAAAGCATAGGTGTATCTGACCTAATGTCCATCCTGGAAAAAAATAAGGCTAGTCTTGTGAATAATTTGGGAACGGAGAGTTTAAGGAAGTATTTTGAGACGTATTTAAAAAAAAGCATTAATTAATGGGGTAGAGAGAGAATATCTGAGAGGTACTGGAGCTGCAGTAGATCTATGGAATAGTGCTTGGATTAATTTTAGTGACTTATGAGGGGAAACTGTGTGGGTGAAACAGCTTTTGGACACAGAATGTAAATTTTTACCTTTGTCGAAAGTCACCATTGAAGGTAATTTTGGTGTGGTCACCACAAAGGCAGCTCTTACTCTGGTGCAGTTAGATAAAGAGTACTATTTGTTAGGAAATCAAACTGCACAGTTGATCTAGGAAATTAGGGAATGATTGGTTCTCGTCAACGTCGTGGAAACCTGTAGTCAGGCACATGAACGCAGAAGTTTAGACAGTGGGCACGGAAGACCAGATCGGAAGACTTAGGATGTGAAAGTATTGTGAATAATGGGATTTTGGAAGAAGGGAAGTTAGCAAGCAATACGGAAGAGTCCATTGAAATTCCAATAATCAGTTCAGAAGAAAGGTCCGTCCTTGCGGATATTTCGCCAGCAGAATTCGCGGAAGCACAAAAGGCATGCGCTAGTTTAGCAGCCCTCTGGAAGAAAGGGGAAAGTGAAAGCGAAAGAGTTTAGAATTGTAAAGGGGAGGCTACTCGGAGTGGCAGGCTCTAAGAAGGGGAAGATAAGCTTCAGCTCTGGGTCCCTCTTCTTTTTAGGAAAGGAATCTTGAAGTTATGCCATGAGAAAATTTCTGGTCATTTAGGGGTAAGAAAAACCAAGTATAGAGCTCTGACACACTATTTCTGGCCTAATTGTTACCAGGAAATTGAAAAATTTGTGAGGACGTGTGATATTTGTCAGCATGTAAGTCACAATAGGGATAAAAAGAAAGCTATAATGAAGATTGTGCCAGTTATATCAGAAGTGTATAACAGATTAAATATTGATGCAGTAGGACCTCTGATTCGTAGTTCACATGAAAATAAATACTTAATTACATCTAAGCCTCACAAAATGGCAGTAAATTGGATAGGGCCAGGGAAAGTGATTTCCGAAACCAAGTGTACCATACAGAATCCGGATATAGTATACCATTTATCATGGCAATTTGATTGAACCTTATCATCAGCACCCTGTGTTGGTGAATCTGATGATGGAGGAGGTTGTGGAGGATATCGAGAGAAAAGTATTCCTGATACTTTGACTGATCGAGCACAGATAGATATGAGGAATATGCTAATTGTTCTAAATAGTATTGGGTTATATGAAAAGTCTCCACACTTTTTTGATACATTTTTGAACAAAAGTTTTCTTTATTGAAAATCGTCTTAATCTACTACATATTGAACATTATTATCTACAACATTTGGCCATTTTTTGGGTAGCATCATAATTCCATCGGTGTAGAACTTCTGTCATTTATCATCAAAAAACTTGGCCAAGTGATTTTCAGCAGCGCTTCTTTCGGCCAATTTTTTACCATTGAAAGTTTGGCAGAGATTGAAACAAGTGGTAGTCAGATGGTGCAAAGTCTGGGCTATATGATGGGTGAATCAAAACTTCCCAACCAAGTTCCGTCAATTTATTCCAAGTCATCAGAAATGTGTGTAGCCATGCATTGTCATAATGGAACACAACTCCCTTTCTGTTGGCCAAGTCTATTCACCCTTTCTGGATTGCTTCATTCAAACGGTCAACTTGTGTATAGGGCCGAATTGTTGATTCTGCAGCAGCTTGTAATGGACAATTCCCTTTCCCTTTTCAATTTCCCTTGCCAGTAGCAACAAGCAACTGATTTGCTACCTCATTAGCTGTGCTGTGCCAGATTTTTTTTTTTTTTTTTTTTTTTTTTGTCGACAGCACCATGTATTTATCTTCTGCAGGCATCACACTGCAAGCATGACCTTCCGTGTCACATTTGCTATGCATTATATTTGTTTGAAATGATTTCCAAAGCCATGAAACAACGTCAGACTCTTTAGCAACATCTGTTATTTTTCATCCTTCTTCAATCTTGCCAGTAATTCAGTTATGCATAAAATCATCTAAGTGATGTTGGAAAGACATACCAAAAATTGCAAGTTCATCAATTGACCTTTTTTATTATTAAATTTTACTTTTAAGCAATGGTCAATACGCATCAAATTCTTTATATATCTTATCAGCCTTATCACATGACGAACAACTTTGGCAATCCAAAATTTGCGTAATCACTGACTGTATCCCGCACTTATGTGCTAATTTCCGCATTTTCCTGCTTTCCATTTTGCAGTTGCTATAGCTGTTACTATCATCCGTCCTTAGCAGTTGTTAACCAATAAATAATACAGTGTGTTGTGACAATGTATAATACAGTATTGTTGTGACTTTTTATTTGAATTTTTTAGGTTGTGAGGGACTTTATTGATATTACTACACCTTTAAAGCAATTTACTGATGCTGTTTTATCGCCAGAAGGTAGGGCTTTTATTTCTTGGAATTTTTAGATTTTCGTAATTTTAAAATTAAAATGCTAAGTTTTGTTTCCTGGTAAAAGTCTGAGAATGTATTATTTTGAAAATTTAAATTTTTACATTATATCAATAACTGTTACTTGATGAGGTTGCTGGTAACCCTGAGACAGACGGAGCTTTCAGAAATGTGTTTGAAAAAAAATCAAATGTTTATTTTGTTTGTCAGGATAAATTTCTGGTAGATTTTTCTCACCATTCCTAGAATTGCAGTAGGGAAGCCATCACATAAATTCATTTGACTGCTGTTACAAATGGTGTAAATCAGATAATCGATTTAATAAATTTGTTTTGGAGTTTTGTATTAAGTTTGAATGCCAAAACATGCTCATCACTCCATATCATAAAACATGCTCGCTGTCTCCCTGCCACCCAAAACAAGCTCATCACCCCTCAGCAGTCTTCCACTGCCCTCCCAATGGTATAGATCATAAAACGTTCTTTGAAATATTTTTTCATATTTTTTAAAGGTGTCAGAAATTTAAATTAATTTGTGTACCTCGGATTTCAGTAAACAAAAATTCTTAAATATTTCAGGAAATAAATTTAATCTAAAACAGAGACTAACATATATTAAGGGGATTTCAGTGATTGTGATTTTTATTTCAAAATAAAGGCAAATTTTTTTTTAAGTATTTATAAATCTACAGTAGCAAAAATTGCAGTTTTGTGGGGATGTGGTGTGGTGTATTTAATTATGGCAAAGCACACTAGGGCTATCTGCCTAAGGGGAGGGATGCCTTTCGTGGAGGACTTTCTAAGGGAAACTGGCTCGTATACATGTTACACATGGGGAAAACCACGAAAACACCCATGCAGCCAGCCCGTTCGCGGGATTCGAACCTCGGACCGAACTACCAGTGTTCAGCGACTTACCGCTCGGCCGCTGGTGGGCCAGTTTTGTGGAGAAAACCTGGAAGAATTATTTTTTAACAGTGAAACAATTTAGCTTTTTTTTAGTGCAAATTATTCATTCAAGATTTATATTCCAGTAAATGGCATCTTGATGCATTATCATCATTATCATCCATGAATTGTGGCAAATTGTGCGAAAATCGTGACTTACTGTCTATTGAGAGGCCAGGACAGTCTATCATTTACATCATTTCATTCCAAAAGTAAAGCAGTGGCAACAACAATAAAAACAAAAACATTCCTTTTTGCATCCTATATCTACTCAAGTACCCTCCTTTTTTACAAAATCATCATCCAGATGTTAAGAATTTATTGGATCATCCCAAAAGTTCTGCAGCTTTTTTTAATAATAAATACAAATGAAGCCGTTTGAGAACATAAGAAAATTTTGTTGAATCACTTAGTACCATTTTATTCTATAACTTTTTTTTGCCATCACTCAGGTAGCTGGGATATTCCTTTTTTAAAATATTCAATAGGTTTACATGTAAAGAATTAACAGCATGCTGTTTGACAGTCTCCAAAGAAGTGAACTTCAGGCCACTCAGAGAATTTTGAAGTAACTTGATGAAAATATGAAATGACAAGGTGTAATGCACAAGTCGTGTTTGGCATTAATCAAAATAGCAGGCTTCAGTATTATCATGAGTGAAGAGAACACTGTGAAGATTGATCAGTTCTGGGCACTTTGCTTCGATTTATGCTTCTAAAACTGCCATTTGGTTACAACATTTTTTGGAATTTGTCTGATTTGGTGGCAACAATTTATAGTATACATTTCCTTTCCTGTCCTACTGTGTGCAATGCATTACATTTTAGAATGAAGCCCTTCCTTCCTTAGTACTTCTAAATAAAGGCGTATCCCTTGTTGTTATATGAGATCCACTTCTCATCTCCTGTAATGAAAATTTTTTTTTAAAGTTTTTTTTTTAATCGTCCCAGCAAAGAGTTATATACCAAACTCAAGCAAGCCTATTCTGCTCTGTTAAAATATGAGGTACCCATACAACATAGCTGCTTACATACCTAATTTCTTCAAATGAACATGTGCTTTTGGAATATTTATTCTGTCTGATAGTTCCTGAACTGTATAATGTTGGTTTTCAGAGGCAGTTTCTTTTAATAGGTCCTTGTTTAGAAAGGATGTTTGGTAGAGAGGTACTTCCCAAACCACCTTCGAACTGTGTTATCAAAAACAGCACTTTTCCCATATTTAGTTCAAATTTTATGTGCAGTCTGACTTAGCATTCTTATCATTTTAAAAATAAAGGAGCATATGACAGAAGGAGCTTTTGGATTTTTCATTCTTGCACTCCACTGAAACTCATGTCACAACACAGGCTAGTATTGTGCAACATAAGCAGAAGAGACTGAATTTAAACACTTTCTTCAAACGAGGTCACTCTGTGTTAGCAGTAAAATATATTTAGAAGAAAATGCAATTAAAAAAATCACAAAACTTTTCAGATAACCCAATATTTTTATCCCTCCTATATAGTGTCGCATCTTGAGTTTATGGATCCAGATACTACTGTAATATTCAAAGCGTATTTACATGAAATATTTGAATCTGTAATCAAAGGCCATGCATACTGAAGGAGGTTTAAACAATTTTGGAAGGATTTTTTATGTTTTGAATGAATTAAAAATGATGGAGCATGCTTGGAGCAGAATTTCAGAAAAAAATTGTGAATGGGGTTTTGCAAAAGCTTTGTCCTAACTTCTAATTCTGAACTGTTAATTAAGTGCTAACTGCCTAAATGCCAATTAAAGTGCTGATTTTGAAGGATTTGAGTAAAAAGAAGAAATAATTCAGCATAAGACTGAAGCGATTGTGCAAAGCACTGGGAAGTGAAGCTTTTACTAATGACATAACTGATCTTAAACCACACTGTAGTGAGCTTTTGGATGAAAAGTTGCTTAAAATAGTGTCTTTTAAAAATGAAAAGCAAGAGGGGGAAGAATAAACAGAAATAAATAAATTGCCATTTATCATATTTTTCTTTATTTTTTGTCAAACTTTTTTTTGATTTACAGAAAACTGATTAGTTTATTCTTTAATCAATTTTCTTGTCTTCAAGTGATAAGGGCTAATTTTGAAGGATTTGAGGAACAAAAAGTAGTAGTTTAGTAAAAAACACAGTGGACCGAAATTGAAAGTGTTCTTTTTATTAGGAACCAGTGTGTTTATTATTATTCTTATGGGAAAAGAATGCTTGCTTTATGAACCTTCAATTTATATTTGGTAATTTGGTCTTAGTTAATTCCTAAAGTTGGGAACTACCTGCAGTTATTTGGCAATATTATATTGGTAAATAAGTTTGTATATATTGCTGAATTGGAATTAAAATGCATGTGTACTTGGTTATTTTATTCTCCATGATAAAGTTTTTTAATATTAAGTTACTATGAGTTAAAAAGTTTGGTAGAACTACCGAAACATAGAATTAAAAAAAATAATAGATGAACATCTAATTAATATTTGTATTGATTTAAATTGTATTTTTTGCATGCAGAGATGCTATTTTTTTAATATTATCTGAGACCAATAATATTTCATGCTGAAATTCAGAACAAGTGGTGCATCTGTTAGGATTCTTTACAAAACTGAAACAGTCACCTAAGTGACTCAGGTTAAACTTACAAATTTCCTTATAGCTTTATTTAGGAGCAGTTGAGCACCAAGATCTATTATATGGACTTACAGAGTGAATGAAATGTAAGACACTACATATTATGTGTGTTTCAAAGGACAACTAGTGCAATTATAATGGCTAAAGAATTATGATATTTGCTAGGAAAAATAGCACTGTTAAAAGTGGTTCCAAGATTAGTTTAAAAATTTCAAGTTGCAAAATTTAAATCTTGAAAACAGGTGGCCAGGTACTCAAGTACTTCTATTCTTGAAGGTGTACTTTTAGTGAATGGGCACCTACCAGTTCCAAAGTGCTAAAGTTGCTGAACATCGGTAGTTTAACATGGGTTCAATTCCAGATGAGCGGGCTGGTGGCATGGCCATTTTCCCACCATGTGTAATGTAGATATGAGCCAGTTTCCCTTAGAAAGTCTCCCACAAATGCATGTCTCCCCGTGCTTTGTCATAATCAAATAACAGAAACCTTTAGGAAATTGGGCATGTTGTAAAGAATAAAGATTGATCCATGTTTAGAAATCTGTATCTTGTCAAATAAAGAAACTATGTTAAAAATGTAAGCAGGGGATATATTCGACATGATTTCAGGCTAAAATAATTTACTAACAGGTGTCATGTATTTTTTGTTATTAGAATTATACAGTTTTTCTTTTTTTTTTGAACTACTTAGCCCCTAATGAGGGGAAATAACTTATGTGTCCATTCGCGGTAGACTGTTTGCCTCACTAAATGGTTGACCTGTTTCTAACTTCCATATCTGTCATCAGTGTTTATGGTATGATGGGATATGAAAGAAATTTGAACTTCTCCCTTGATCTGTTTTCATTTGATTCAGAAAACAAGGTAGATAAATTGGCATTTGAAGGCAATCAGAAAGACATCTCAGTACAATGCTACTTTAATTTATACTACACTTGAGACACAAGAGTAAAAAAACTAGGTTAATTAGATTATGAAATTCTTCAAATCTCCTGTATTTTGAAATGTTGCACTATCAGACTACCAATTTAATGTGTGTAAATGTTCTTGAATTCTTAAATGGGTAGAAATTTAAAAGTAGGGGAAAAAATGTATGCTACCAAATGCATTGTTAGAATCTAGGGAAACTAACAATTTTGTTTCATAATTAATAAGTTGCTGCTTAAAGGAACACAAGTTTTTGGTAATAATGGTAGTATTTTGTTTCATTAAGAAAATTTTTCTTTCAAAATTACATCTGCTTCAATTTTACTCGAATCTATGATATGAATTATGTGTGAGCATTATACAAATACAAATTAATAAATCATAGGGGGAAACAACTAAACTCATTTTGTGCTTATTGTTATTAAAGCATGGGAAGTGACAAAAGTAATTTTCATTATTAAAGTGCAGGAGAG